GGGAAAGAATGTTGACAACTCTATTTCCTACTTCTACCCGCGTTTGTTTTGACCGTAAGCATGGATGGCCCCTTCCTTCCTTCCTTCCTTCCTTCCTTCCTTCCTTCCTTCCTTCCTTCCTTCCTGCTCTCCTCCCGCCAGGGTGTAGGTCGAAGCCCACGCATCAAAAAAAACTTTCCAGACTGTTGTACTCCCCATTAAATAAGCTAAGTTATAAGTTGTTTTTTGATGCTTGAAAAGTTTTTTCTTGATGCTTATAAAATTTTCTTTGATGCTTATAAAGTCTTTGTTAAGCCCTATCCCTTTAGAGGTCCCAACACCATTCAATTGAATTTCTCATCAAAAGCTGGGTCTTTGTTCAGGAACTTAAACTATTTTACTATATTGGGTAAATATTGTAAATAAAAGGGTTTCCGTCTGAAGTTCTTACATCTGTGGAAAATGTTTTTCCTTCCTTGTTTCCTTTCTTTCTTCCTTCCTTCCTTGCTTCCTTCCTTGCTCGCTTGATTTATTCCTTCCTTCCTTCGTTTCTTTCTTCGTTCCTTTCTTCCTTCCTTCCTTCCTTCCTTCCTTCCTTCCTTCCTTCCTTCCTGCTCTCCGCTGGCCAAGGTGTAGGGTCGAAGCCCAAGCATCAAAAAAAACTTTCCAGATTGTTGTACTCCCTAGGAAATAAGCAACAAGGTTTTTTTGATGCTTAAAAAGTTGTTTTTCGATGCTTATACAGTTTTTTTTACCCCTATCCCTGGGGGCGGCAGCCGGGCCTGCACTTGCCGCTAGGCCCTAAATAGAATGCACGACAATGCAGCCACGAAATCCTGCTTAGCTACAACATGCTCATCACCTGCCTGTTGGACAGCATGTGCACCATAGGCACCAGGCCTCTGCAGGACATGCAGCATTTAAGACTTCAGCTTGATGCCTAGACTTAGAGTCGTTGCATGGCTTGCAGTGTGCATGTGCTGAGTGCTTGGTGCTGGCATGTGCTGGCTAAGGCTCGGACATCTGGAAAGCCTGGCTGCCTTGCTGGCCGAGGCCTCCCAAGCCTCCTCCAAGTCCAACACCCGCACTTGGTGGACTCGCTGCTCGTTGTCCAAATGCTGACTGTCCCGCCAGATTTGGGGGACTTCCTTGCAACGGGCCTGTGCCACCCAGATTTGCGCAGCCCCCTGCACCAAAGTGCGCGAAGCCTTGTGGCTGCCCTGGTTGCTGCGGTGGGGCTTGAGCAGCTTGGGCCATCCCAAACCCCAGAGGCCCTTGCCCAAGCTGTCCAAGCGCACCTCCACTCGCAAAGCCTTGCGCAGCCTGCGAACCAGCTTGAGGTTGAGCACCAAACGGGCCACCTAAGCCTGGGGGGCTTCCAAATGTGCCCATGGGCTGGACGGGTGCGCTGGGAAACTGCATGCTCCGCAAGTCTTGCCTGAATCGAGAAGCCAGATCGATTTCCATGCAGAAGCTGTGGAAGCCCAGCATAGCTTGGGAGCGTGCAGCAGTGAGTTGGGGCTTGGAGCAGCGGTCTCCTTGCAAATCGCTCATCACATGTGAAACACGCTAGCCGTCATGCTATCTTGATCCCAAAGTCCTGACCGCAGGTCATGCACACAAGGAGAGAAAGCCTTCGCCAGTGCCAGGTTCAGAGAAGCATCAAGTCGAGCGTCTTTGAACTATGACTGCTGAGCGTCTTGCAGAAGTGCCGTGAAAGCCTATGATTCACGACAACACTAAGCTTCTCCACGGAAATGCAATGTGGCCCGCGTGACTGCAAAGCCAAGATACTGAACATCTCATCACAACTTCGGCCATCTTCTGCAACAATCGTTCCCTGTCCTAATTCTAAACTTAATGCGTACAAGAAGACTCTTGGCCACTGGATTACAACTACTTCGAGACGTTTTGAAATGAACAAACGATGATCCCAAGATGCTGTCTGCCAAACTGAACTTGGCCACGTCACCAGAGTTTGCACAAACTCAACCAATTTTGACAAGCAAATCTGTACTGAACTGTTTGAACATGCTTGAATATTCAACCCAGTGACTTCTGCTTCATCATGCTTCATCACTAATTACTGACTACTCGATCTCAAGTTATATATGGGGACAACAATTTCGATCAGTGCTTCAGGAGTGCTAAACAGTACAACTGCTGGGCATGTCCGGTCATGCTTCATGGCGAACTCATCTTGCCAGCTTTGAGCCAAAAGCGCAGTCCATGGAGCTGGCATCTTTGCGCGAAGTCCCCTAGCGAGACTCCCGCATAGCAACAGGGGCCCAACTAAGGCAAGAACATCCAGCGCCAGTTTGCCCACACCCGCGTGACGGTCTGACTTCAATGGCTTCGCGTAGCATCAAACTTCATCAAGTCCTCGAACTGGCCATCAACTCGCCTCCAACTCGCTTGTTCTCCCTGAAACTTGCAGTGTCGTTCATCTCGGATGCTTCTGATCGGAAGAACTGCGGGCTCTTGCACGTTTGTCCAGCTTCTTCTTGCACTGCTTGCACTGGTCCGTTAGAAGTCTCAGAGCGCTGCCAGGCCCAATGCTTTGCACAGCTGCCTGCAAGCCAACGAAGCGAACGTGTCAACACGGTGGCTGAGAAGTACACTCCTAATGGCACACTCAAAGTTCTACTTCACCCGTGGAAGGCTTACTGCAATCTCACATGTAAGCCGCTGAGTTTTCGTGTCAAGCCGTTAGTTAAGGTACTGCAACGCGGACCGCACATGCTTGGGAAGTATGACTTTGCGCAGAGGAATACCTTCCCTCTGGATTTTATGAGTCAAAGCGGGAGTTGAGTGGCGAATCGATGAAGGCAAAACACCCCTCAAATCCCTGCCGCTTCTGAGCCCTGTCTAGCATGTCCCAGGTTAGGGTACAACGCGCTCAGCGCTGTCGACCAAACGTGAAGATGCAGCCCAGCCAATTTAGTTACTTATCGTGAGCTAAACAGAGCGCTAGCAGATTGGCGAGCGTTGAATTACCAAGTCCGCCCACACAAAGCAACCTGCGGCGTGCGGCATGCGGCGGCTTGTGTGGGCCGACACTATAGCAACTCAAGCTGTGCCCCAGATTACTGAATCGTCCAAGACCGTTGACTTAGCCGGGGCCAGGGGCTTTCGCGGCAGAAGCCAGCATCGATAGACAGAACCACCGCCGCAGCGAGGCTATCTGGAAGGCAACGGTATCGGCAACTTGTGAACCGGATGAGAACCGGCAGACCAAGGCCTTCAGCGGAATCGAAATCCATGTCTCTGAGCGGGACATACGAATGAACATACACAATCCTTGTCCACTTCCTGCCCACGCTCAAGCCTGCACATGTACGCCGGAAACGTCAGTGGTTTGGAGTTTAAGAACAGCGGTGCTGATTACTGATAGCTCCCTTCACATGACCTGCCGGTCAGGAGCATCATGGCCGCTACGCATACTCTAACTCAAACTGCATGCCTTTCGGCAGCACAGCAGTACTTGCCAAGCGGCAGACATTGACAGAACAAGAGCAACCCTTCTCTGTGGTCCCTGACGACGTCTTCGCCTCCAATCTTATTGCATGTCTCGAGCCATATATTGTCCATGTTGTGAGAAACGTTCTGCCCTCCGCCGGGGCGCCGAGGGCAGGTCGGCCGAGTCAGCGTTGAGGCCGTCGAGAACAAGCCCCCAATCCCCGGCCCATTTTTGCTCCTGGCAAATGGGCCGCGACCAGTGCCATCCAGTACCCTAAAAAACGATGTCGATGAGCTCGAATCAGACCGCAGCTAACAAATCTAACGAACCTTGCGCAGGTGCAGCGCAGATTCGCACAAGCAAGCATGTGCTCTGCAGCAAATCCTGACAAGAAGCCGGACGAAAGACATGCCAAAACAGAAGTCACTTGAGCCATGGTTTTTCTACTGACACAAATCTAGAGGGAAATAAATGTTTCCACGACATGCTTCCTCACACCTTCCGCGGAGTGAAAAGTTGTTTCTGCGAGGTATTTTCTCAACAGGTGCTTCTGCGATGCCCTTCCGCAGCCGGTTTCCGGATGGTTTTATGTAAAAGGATGTCGTAATCTTCGCGCCAAAGGTTGCCGTGTTCATGAACAGGGTTGGATTGCAGTGCGCATGGTCCGCGGCAGAAAAGCCGTCAATGTGCTCGCAGTAAACTGCACTTACAACAGTGTTGGCATACCAGAGCGACAGCTTCATACTTAGCAATACTACCTACTAGCCCACGAGTAGCCCTTTCTTGTAGCTTCGGCGAACTTCCCACACTGTGATGAAGCTTACTTCCAGAATCAAGGGATGCTGGCCACAGCTTCCGCAAGACCTTCCGCAAGAATAGCCTTCCGCGAATCCTTCCGCATTTCTGTGCGCACAGTCCTGTGTGATTCTCGAACTCTACTACCAAGAATTGTTTCCGTATCAAGAGTGATGCCTCTGACGTCCCAAAGACTGCATCAAATGTTGTACAAGCGGTATCTTGCGGAGGATTTTCTCTTGGGATGAGCTAGCGGCTAGCGATCAAGCTCGGAGGCCAAGCCCATTGCAACCCGGAAAGGCTCAGTGGTCGCAAGCCGTGCTAGCAAGCTGGTCAGTCTTGCCAGCCCCCGGCGGCCGTGCATCTGCATCGCATGCCAACCACTCACCCACCAGGTCACCACTGCGCCAGGTGTGGAAACGAGCATTTGAAACGTAGAGCGGCTCTTGATGTGTCTGGCATTCGGACTTGGAACTTTGCCAGACTGGGCTGAAAGAAACACATGCTGCAGAAGCACACGGGAGTCCAGAGCTTTGGAACAGCCCATCTTCAAGCCAAAATTGTGACTAAATTAGCACCGAGCTGCTCAAAGGCATCGCATGCCTGGCAGGCATCAAGGCAAACTGCTGAAAGGTCGTCTGAAAGTACTCGTAGACATTCGCTCTGCCTTTTGGAAGTTTCCTGCTGCCGCGGGGTTGTCTGGGTTCTTGTCCGGATGCCACTTTAGCGCAGCTTGCCTGCAAATGGCAAGAAGATTCTGTGCTCTAAGCCCGCTTGCAGTTGTTTGACACAGGACGCCTGTAAGCCTTCTTGAGCACATTCCTGTCACGCGTGCCCTCCGGCACACCGAGGGCCTTGTGTGCAGACCAGCAAACTGCGAACACTCTTCATGCAAGTTTCGGCACCTGGTAGTACGCCTTCAGCGGCCGCATTGAAGGCCGTTCCCAAGGATCTGGAGGAGGTCCTGTAGCAACGCAGGCCAAGTGCCAAAGCAAAAGCAGAGAAACCCTGCCTTTATTTCGATTCGAGGAGGGCTTAGAGCCTCACGACAAGTTCTGATCACGAGAGCATGCAGCAGGACACACTCGGACACACTGCATAATCAAACATCATGAGCCTGCGTTCGGTTTCGCTCGTCCAGGTGGCCAGAACTGGCCCATGCTGCCTGAACGGCATCGTATGTGCCGACGAGAACAATGCTCACAAGAGGATTGCATCAGCACTGGCAACTATGCCATGCCCAAAACAAGAGACATTACAGGTGATGAAGTGACAGGCTTCCTCGATCGAGGCTTGTGTGTCTTTTTCTTTGTCTTCTTCTTTTAAGGGCTTTGCTTTGCGACTCCCAAGAGGGAAGGCGCCGTCGGGGCGCGTCCCCGAGCCTGCAGGGTAATCACGTCCCTTTTATTCTGCTTTTAGGGGAAGAGGATTTTGCGCAGGCGCGCGAGCCTTCCTCGAGCGATGTCTCCATTATCTCTCGTTCTCTCCTCCCTGATCCTCCCTGGCCCGCACGCCAATGACATCAAGTCGACACGGCAAGGACCGGGATACTACACGCACGACTCCCAGCTTCAACAATACCCTCCAGCATTCTGCCATTCGAAGGCTACATGGTTTCCTACGCAAAGTATCCTTACATCCGGATATCATACGAGTCTCCCCAACTCAATCGGCTGAGAAACTTCAGCTTTTCCGCTCGGTGGCTTTCATTGCAACCCAACCTGCATGCCCCCATGCGACACTGTACCCAAATAACATATTACGTCGACTGCATTTGGAGTGTGGAGCCCTTGCTCGTGCTACGGATCTCTCCCTCATATGGATGGTGAACTTGCAATCGATGGAAGCTGCAGGGTCAAACCACTTAGCGCGCACAGCGTAAAGAACAAGAGCAAACATTACGTCATCGCTACCATTCCCACGGGGCCGGATATGTCCTTTTGGAATTCAAGCTACACGTGGCCTACAACTCAGACGCAACCTATCTCCTTGACATCATGGGCGTTCGCCCTCATGCCATGCTTTCAATTCATGTACAGCAGCTGCCTTAGCCCCGTGGGGTGACTGTCAGCGACAGCATAACTTCTCTGCCCTGCAGAAGAAACGGGTTGTATCATGTTCGTTTTACGAGGCTCGTGTTGTTTTGCCCACTGGCATTCCCTCACACTATCACGGAGTGCCTCAGGCATGGTGGGCTGCTGAAAAGGAACACATGGCCCCCACCACCAACCAGCCACCAGCTGCTCAGACCCGTGGCCGATGGGAGACAACAGGAGTGAAGATAGGAGGTGGGGAGTGCGTACATCACATGTAGCAGCAGACTTAAGAGAAGAGGAGAGGAGGAAGATGACGACATGGCGCACTTCAGCAAGTAATGCAGGGCAGGAAACAGAGAGGATGGACTACACCAGGAGCAGGAACAAACAAGCCTCATTGACAATGGGAAAGTGAGCAAGAAGCGCAGAGGGGAAGGGCAAGAAGTCCTGGAAAGCCACAGACAGGGGAAACCCAGTAAACGGTGGAAGACCCCATCCAAGGGGCTGAAAGCCTAAACAACACCGACGTGGCAGCAGGCGGAGAGGAACAAGCCAATGAGGAGGCCCGAGACTCAGACCAAATTCCGCTAGCTGAACGGCGCATCAGCATCACACCTGCCAGGACGATTGACGTATTGCCGGGTGACGTTGAACACCGTAATTAGTGAGTATTGGATGGACAGCTCCGATGCGGGAGTCTTGGAAAGAGGTTTTTAACAAAACAAGCGACTGAGTGATATAGCTGATCGGCTGCAACAATCCCAAGTTCTGCAGGACAGCAGCTGAAGCTGCAACAAGCCTTGAACAGGAGCCAGACCATGCGTGCTCTCCAACCACGACAACCACCAATACCAATCCCTATAGAAGACCCACACACGGGCGCGGCGAGGGACAAGCGGAGCTACCTCACCCATCACCACTGTTGGGAGAGAAAGCCAGTCGCTGACTGGGGAACCACGTCAACCCTCAGCCTTCCTCAACCTGCGTATCCAAGTCCTGCAAGCCACGAAGTGCAGGAAGAGAGAGTTGGCAAAGCGCCTACATACCGGGAGCATCTGGGAGGAAGAGCAGAGCTGCAGGCAAAAGAAAGCTACCAGGAGAAAAGGGGAATCAAATGGGCCGGAGGAGAAAAGAGCAAGACAAGGTGAATACCAATGAGAGAATGAGGGAGCAAAAGGCTGAAGAACAAGGGGGCAACAAGACAAAAAACGCGGAAGGCAGGACACAATGGACAACATGGAGGACCGGACGCCACGCAAAGAAAAGAACACATCAACAACAACACGGTAACGGGGCCACCCAGCTGGTGGGAGAGGAAACTCATCAAAATACCAAGAGGAGACAACGCGCATGAGGCTGCCCACTGCAGAGGAGCAAGCATCTATAGCAGCGCGTGAGGCAGCAGAGGACGCACAGGCGTGGCTCGCTGCAGAGCATTATATGGCAATCTGCATTTCAATCGTGAACGGGCGGAAGAGAAAGCAGCAGAAATAGAGAGAAGACGCAGCACAAAGAAGGCAAATCGAGGTGGAAAGACACGGAAGAAAACCAAGAAGCATAGCATAGGAAGGGAGACTGGGCTAAAGGAAAATCTCTGAGCCTAGCGAACAATACTAAAATTATACTACCCCCACCCACCCACCCCGCGCGTCTACCATTTTGGGCCCTTCTATCCGCTGGGGTTGACGGGGCAGCCCTTTCTGGCAGTTCTCTACCTCTCGACTTGCAGACGTGGAAATGACATGAACGGGTCCACCTATGAACAGCTCCAGCTCTTCAGGCGTCCATTGCCAGGCATGACTCGGCAAGTCAACTCCAGAACCTGCACAGGCCACAAAAACACTCAGTGTGGCATTTCGTGACACTGCACATGCAACCTCGAACAAAAATCGCCTTGGAATCCAGGGTATTTGGACAGCAGACTCCTTGGCGAGGTGTCACGGCACGCGAAAGTCCCGAAGCATCCAATTCAGCTTGAGCAGCTGCAAGCGTTCTGCATACGTCTGCGGACGCTTCGGTGCCTTTGGAGCACCTTCAGCTTTGGAGGCAAAATCGCGTGTAGAAGGTTGCTTCCAAAGACTTCCAAATGAATCCGAGGCTCTAGGGGGTGGCTTGGGAGCCGGTGGGCTGGCTTTCGGCGGTGGCGCAGGATTCGGCTGAGGCGAAGGTTTCGGCTGAGCGCCTTGGTCAGATCAGATAGACCTGGAAGAATTGAAGCCACCTTGCTACCCATGGAATTCTGAGACCGGCTCGAGCTTCGGATCGAGCCTGAGCTTCCCAAGGGTTCTTCAGCATCCACTTCACCTGAGTTGGCATGGCCAAGAAAACTGCAAAACAAGGAGTCACATTACCACCATCTTTTCCACCTCAATTGGTGAGCTGCACCAGCCAACAACCAGAACAGAAGCTAGCAAAGCGCATCCCCTCATGTTCTGAAACTTAAGCTCATGTTTGAGCTTGTTCTCGCATCCTTAGAGCATGTCAAATGCAAGCAGCTGTCAGCAAAGGCACTTCCTCTGAGGAGGCGAAATCCAAAGCCGTTTGGCCACTTGCACTGCTCCTCGAAGTCTCGGCACGAGCTCGTAGCAGTGTGCGCACTAGCTCAGGGTCTCCTGGAGCAGCTTCCATCATTTCAACATCGCACTCCGGGAAGCACTACCGAGACCTAGCCCCGAATCACTCGCTCTGCTACATAATACCTTGCTGGCTTTTGCCACTAAAACTAGCACAGACGAGGCTCTACGTTTAAGCACGTCTTCAGCCAACAACAGGAAGCATTATGGAAAACTTGGCAACAAGACACTGCAGTATGAATGAACAGGAGATTCAACGCTGGACCTATTCCAGCTGCTTCCATGAGGGGCGTCTCATGCAGGACTGCGTCGGAAGTGTTGACGGAGGCACGCGAATCCAGGAGGAGTTGCACTATGCCTGGGGGTAGTGCAGGCGCTTTTCTGTTATGTCTCGGCCAGCATGAAGAAAGTCCAACGAGACACACAACCGGCAGCAAAGTTTTGTCTTAAGGCATAGCGGCAGCGAGGCACAATGAATAGATTTACTTGAGGTACGGGCTTTGCCCTTTTGAGTACTTGTCCTGTAGCAAGTTGCACCCTAGAACAGCAAGCAGCATCCTCAAGTATCCTCTAGCTCGACTTTGTCCGGTTTTTGCCAAGATTCTCATCCGCCAAGTTCGGCTGGCATCAGCGGAAGCCCGAGATGCAAGAATGAGCGGCGTCTCGCCCAGCAAGTTGGTTGCATTTACGGCCGCAGTCCTCAGTTGTCAGAAGCGCCTCTGTCATGCTGTGTTATTTGCCGCCAGCAGTAATCGAGAAGCCTGCCTGGCTGCCCGCTGCTGAGCTACAGTACTCGCACTGCTGCTCTTAAACTCTTGTCGGTTGCGTTCAGCGCTGGCGCCGAGGCTTCCATGCGCAGTGTTGGAAGATGTTGGGAGCATGTCTTGAGCTGATTGACCTGGCTTTCAAGGTTGGGCTTGCAGACCAGGCACGACGAAATCAGGAGTCTGACGAACCGCCGACCGTCATCAGAATCCGGAGCTCGAGCAGTAGAAGCATGAAGCACTCCAAATCCGTTTGCATCCTTCCTCTGGAAATTCAAGTCGATCTCTTCGGCCTTCGCCCGTTGCAGGAGAATCTCGGCCTTCTGGACGTCATGCTGCCGAGCTGCCAGTCTGAGACCCCTATCAAACCAATAATCTGCTGGCAAGGCGAACAGGTGCCTAAGCTTCACCCTCAGACCAGTCACCTCACACACTCGTCACACCCTCATGAAAAGCACACCGGGGCATGGCAGCCTGCAGCAGAGGCTCGCCATAGATTGGTGCTCAGATGCCAATTGCGTGGCATTCAACCCGCTCGGTGCTTTGCAGGCAGGATTTGCTGCATTCTCTAGGAGTATCCTGCAGATCTGGGCCTGTCCCTGGCCGGCTGCTTCCATTAAAGCTGTTTCACCAAAGTTATCTTTTTCGTTCGGGTCAGCACGCTGCGACAGAAGATACTGGACAGTACGGACATCGCTTTGCCGCACTGCCGAAATGAGCTGTGTCTCACCCAACGCTTCTGCTCTGCCAAATGGAGTTGAGGGGGAGAATCGATTGAACGCTGGCGACGGAGCAGGGGTCTCAGACCGCTCACGCGGCGCCACCTTTGGGCGCTCCTTGTCATCGTGGACGGCTGTCTTTGGAGTCTGCTCTTGTGCGTGTTGCGCATGTGCAGAGTTTGTTGGGCCGGAGGGATGCAAGCCGCTATCATTCGCAGGTTCGGGTGGCTTAGGGTTGTGGTTACTTTGCACCTGTCCCTGTGACTTCGCTATCTTCACCTCCGTCTCCAGGCGGCTCCTCAGAGCTGCTAAGGTTTCGCTGTTGAAGGCCTTTAATCCGGCTGCCTGCAGCCGCTTGTTAAGACCGTGGGCCATGAGCTCAGCGAGCTCATGAATCGTGGTGGCGCCCACTCGCGATAGCTTCTCTTCCACCGCAGCCAAGTCCTTCTCGTTCCAGTTTGGCCGGGCATCGCTCAGAAGTCTTCGCAGTGGTGTGACGCCCACATGCACCATGTCCAGTTCAAGCGCTGAATTACATCATAAGACGTTGAGGCACAAGGTCTTCGAATGCTTGGGCTAGCTCGATTCAGTGCATGGAAGCTCTTACCATGTGTTACCTGTATCGTGTTGTATCACACGCACGTTTGATGGCAATTACATCATCTCCGACCGGCTTGAGACAATTCGCAGCGCTCTGATTAACATGAGCCGAGCATCCCCCTACTCCATCATGGAGCTCAACAGACTGTGTTTCTCGCGAAATCGCATCCAGATCGCTACAATTCATTCATGGGGACATTGACATTTGAATTACTCCGAAACATGACTAAAGGCCATCAAGGCTGAAATGTAGTTTACAAAGCCATTCCATCACGGCTCCAGTTTCGACAGGCTCTGGTGAGACGTTGCCACCGAGCAACTGTCGATGCTGTGTTTGCGCAGTACAAAACCAGGTCCAGGATATCCAGAGCCAATCCCATTCAGGGAAGCCACCAGCACTGGAAAGGCGAATTGCCCGCACCTAGCTAGAAACTTGCAATCCTCTGCTGCTTCTCCAGGCAACCTGCAAAAGGAAAGCTTTGATACAAATTCACGAAGGTCCCGCGAACAAAAAGCAGGCCATTAGCGGAGCGCTACATGCAGCTGCTCTGTGCCTGCTGCTTGCGAACAGCCGCCGCCTGGGAAGTCATGAGAGAAACTGCACGACCCACAAAAGGGTAGAGTGTTTATCAACATGCTGTGAGAAGCCATCCCAGAACTGCAATGCACAAAAAGGCTATGAGATATGCCAGACTGAGTCGTTTCGTGGCACTGATCCTCTCTGAATGGATCGCACCTGTCTCAAACCTGAAATCCAATTGAAAAAAGAATTTGGGGCCGGTGATTTGCCGGATGCTAGACCCGCTTGTTTTTTCATCTGCAGGAGACGCGCAAGTTGTCAAAGCATCCTTGCTTGCAGCAGTAGCAGTAGCAGAGAGGTTTGCTGTCCATGTGCAGGGCCTGGCATGGCTGAGAGATGCTGAGAGATGCCAAAGAGAAAATTGTACGTCCTGGATGTCCATGTGAATGACCTTCTCGTCTGGCAAGCATAATCCGAAGCCCGTTGTTGCCTCTGACCAAGGTCAGTGCCAGATAGGTGCTGGGGAAGGTGGTTTCGCTGGAGCTTTGGCCGCAGCACGTTCTTGAAGTAGCGGAAGGCGAAGAAGCATCAGCATTCTGACTCCTCTACTCCCCGTCCTGGGGTGAGCAGCCGCATGTGAACTTTGCACATGCATGATGTTCGCGCATTTCGCGCCCGGTTATGTCCGCTTGCCTCGGCTGCTCGCTTCTGTTCACTCCACGGTCCGAGAGCCCTCCAGAGCCTTCATAGTTCATCTAGCCAAGATTGTCAAGGAAGCAAACAGTTCAGTCCCTAGACCTTGCAGCTGCAGTTCTATGCAGAGAGTTCCCGTATGCCTGAACAAAACATCACCCGACTCCCTAGTCTGTCAGCACGAGCACCTCTCTGCTCAAAGATGGCCACACCGGCCAGCACGAAGCACGTCCCAAGCAGAACCTCCTGTTCTGCGGTCGCACTTCCAGTATAGCACCAGGAAAGACCCCTTTAAAAGAGCTATTAACTTCCAAAGTTTTAGCTAGAGACGCCCCGCCTGCGGCATCTTCTCACCCCAGAAGCCCATGGAAAATGCTAGCAGAATTATGGTATTCAGTTTGCCAATTATTTGCATGGAGCTTGCTCCAAGTTGTTTCATCGTTGCCATGCCCAAGACATTCAGAACAGTGGCCGTAATGCAAGTCAAGAGAATCATTCGACCAACCTCCGGAGTTGTCTCTGCAATGGCTTGCGAAGGGCTCTCGGTAACAAAGGCATAAGTCATTGCCCACAGAGTGCAAGGAGGTGCCTGCAGTGCCCAAACGTGCATTGGAGACAAGCCGGAGGTTGGTGAAGCTGTGCGTCTCCGGCCAGTGTGAAGCGTTTCCCACACTTCTGAGCGTGCTTCGTGTGATTCCGCAAGCTTGATCTGCTGGCTTTCAAGATCTCTGTCTTGTAACTTGTATGCGGAAGGCTCGAGGAGCTGATCTTGTAGAACTGCCTTGGCAGCCCTCAGGAATACCGACGCTGTGCAAAAGATAAGGCCTAGGGCTACTGAGTTCATCTCCCCTCCTTGATCCTTAATTTCTCCGGCCCCAATGCAGGTTGCGCCCACGCTTGCAACACCTATCCCTATCCAGCCCGTCCGATTAATCCGACGGCCAAGGCAATGGGTCATCACGGCAGTGATAATCGGCGCCAGTGTGCCAATGATGCCCACAAGACCAGCTCCCATGTAAAGGAGGGAGGTGTTGTTCAGAGCAATTGACATCGGCAAGCTGGCTGCAATCGGGAGGACATACTTGGCATAGCGTCGTGCTGAGCCCATCGAGCTTGGCCTGCACTTCTCAAACTGCTTGCGGCTGGCCCAGAAAAGCCAGCTTGTCAGCCAAATAAAGAGGAAGTGCAGGCTTGTGACGCTTGCTGGATACCTAAAATTCAGGGCTCCCGACCCCAGATTCTTCATGAGGAGCTGGGTGCAAACCAGCGACAGAACGAAGCTGCAAGCACAGATCTGCGCTCCAACACCCCGCGGCTGCAAAATTGCCCAGATTGCTGAAAAAATTAGCGTGGCAACCACTACTGCCACAACCTGACCAACATCCATCTGGATGTCTTGCACTTCTGAACTCATGACGGAGGGATCTACAGGCCAGCTTGAAGGGCTACCCTCCTGAGCCAACTTTTTGACCTTAAAGCAATGCTGTCGAAGGCATACAAGTGCTACTTGTATGTCCTCGGATCGAACCTTCGACAACCTTTGCTAGCTGGTGCGCTGATCATGGTTAAGCACCCTGAAATGCCAAAGTAGCCCTTCGAAGGCTAACAGTGGTGAGCAGCTCTGGCAGGCAACTCTGGGCAGCAAACATTGTCTCGTGTCACCATGAGAGCGCGCTCCTTCCAGTTTTTCCAAAAGCTTGCAGGACATCACAGCAAATACAGCATGTCTGGGACCCGGGCATCCATAAATACCTCGGCTGGAAGGACTCAAGGGCTTGCTGAAAGAGCAAGCATTGCGCATTGCGGTGGCGAACAAGCCGACTAGGAAGCTGGTGATATCTTCAGACACACAAAGACTTTGGCATGCCTGCAGCGACTTGTAGCCGCCACCAACTCGAACAACGACATGTTCACCTCTCTGCTGAATGTAGACCTCGGAGACAATACGCATGCTAATGCTGCTGCTGAGAAGCATCCCACAGAAATCGTCGACAGCCATTCTCTCTGTGCGCTCAACCGTGCCGCGGTCTCCAAACACCTTGCATGTAGCGCTTCCAAGCTTCCGCGTTTGGGCATGCCTGCAGATACCTGCAGTGCGCACGAAGTACTGAGCATTGCACATAGTAATTTGGCGCAACCTTCTGGATGGACCTCGGCTTTGGTTGCCAAAACCTTTCCAGCAATGTGCCCTGCTGAGGGCTGCTTGTTCCTGAAGGCGTGTCCACTAAGAATGGCACACAGGAAAATCAGGATTGTGCTCCAGGTACCTGGCATCAGCCGCGGTAGCTCGTGTGCTTCACATGATTTGAGCTGACAAACTTGCATAGCCGGCGTTCGAATGGCAGTGTCTATCGAATCTTCCTCCTCGTCATCCTCATACACCTTGCGCGCCACAGCAATACCTAGCCTTCGTGGCTGCTCTCAAGACTGAACCCGCCTGTGCGTCAGCGTCTTGCTTTCGCACCTCACCAGTGTTTGCCTGCACTGGCTCTGCGCCAGTGCCCTCTCACAATGGTTCCGACATGTAAGTGCCCTGCAGGAGCGGAACGACGAGGCCCGCCTTGTCAAGCAAAGCATCAACCCCATATCCCAACAGCGTCCATGTTGCGGTAAGAGTGTTTATGTTTTTGTTGTCTGGTCTTTTTTGTTGTTTGTGCTTTTCGGATGTTTTATTTTTTGCTGTTTGGGCGGTGGCGTGTTTTCTCTTTCGCTATTTGGGCGGGGGGCCTGCCCCTGCCCAAACAGCAAAAAAAACACGACCCCGCCCTTTTCCCCCATGCCATGTCTCCACGGCACAATTTGATTTTCTGCAAAAATGCACGGGCGCTTCACGTAAGCCCCACCGAGGCCCAAACAATTTTAAAAGACAGCCTCCCGCCCAAACAGCGCGCCGTTTGGGCGGGGGGGGGAGGCGTGTTTTTTGCTTTTTGGACGGGCCTGGGAGAGGCGTGTTTATTTGTTTGCTGTTTGG